TTCGGTCTTGTGGGAGGACACCTTACCTCCAGACCAACGAGCCAGCATCTAACGGTTAGGACAAAATGGCACTGATGACGAGTCCCATACTAGGATGAAATGGTAGTCCAATGCTTTTAGACTTTCGGTTGTTGTCTAACACTGATCGATTAATGATTTCAGTCAAAACTCAATATTCTTCACAACCCTATACTGATAATGAATAACTAGTAGAAATTAGATACGAAATTAAATGAAACAACTGATTTAGGTTAAACTGTAACCAGTTAGTCAAAAAGCATTCAGTGAACATAATTATTTTTAGGATTTGTAAAGCGAGTGTATAATTACAGCAGGCTACTAAATGTTTTGTATCTTTAATTAGATTTGAAATGAATAATTTTAGTGTATGTACTTAGAGGTTAACAAAATTTTACTCAATCTCGTTTTGCATGAATAAATTACATTTATGTTTATATTAGCAATTGTTGATATGAGCTTAGTAGCACTAAATTACTAGAGTTACATGCTCAAATAATCAGTTTTAGGTAAAATATAAAGATGGAAATTTCAAAACATTGTCTAGATGTTCCTTTTTTAATTTTAAAACTGAACTATTAGTTTATAATGCTAAGATAGACATATTATTATTATTATTGATTGCCTAAAGTTAAAACTTACAGTACAAAGGTATACTGTGAAGTGATATCACCTACTGATAAACATTATAATCATCGGTTATTATATTAATGCACTTTATTAACATGTGAAATACACTGTAAGTCAATATTTACTGTCTATATAATATTCATTTTACAAATTGAGTTAATCTTAAAACTGTATTTTTTTATTATTAAAATATTTCATTTTCATTTTGATATTTATTACGTTAAAACAGGATTGTTTTTAATCATTTTCAATAAACTAATCCTGTATTAGTCAGATAACTTGAAAAAACGGTTGCTTATCTTTTAAACTGAATACTTAATATATATGCAAAGATGTATAGTGGCTAGCAGTGGAATCCTGGACGCGCGTTTCGTCCTATCTGGGACTCGTCAGCTCGATGTACCTGAGTCTCAAAGTTTATATACATCCTGGCTATTGGGATTCAATAGATAAGTAAATAATGCGATGGCGTTTGAAGCAAACGGTACTGGTTTGATTCTCAGAGTGAACATCAACTCTGTGATGCAGGTACATCTAGCTAATGAGTACCAAATAGGACGAAACGCGCGTCCTGAATTCCACTGCTAGCCACTATACATCTTTGTATATATAGCTTGTGACTTCAAGCAATATTGAAGCAGTTCGAACAGTAAGAGATTGATCAGTTGCAGTTCTAAATAACAATGGGAAGATACACGTAAACAACACCAAGTAAATATAAATACTCGATATATTCATCAATTATGATAGTGAATAGCAGACTTTCATCCGAATCTCGTAATTACTTTCATAAATGGTTGTCTCTAACAATCGTGTGTCAAAATACTAAATGATAAATTTCTGAAGATTTTAATGACATCTTATTTCGTGGAAGAAGAGATATTCACTGAACTATATGTTGGGACCCTGTTTTGGAAAATATGTATTTAATAAACGGAATACACCCATTATGACATTAAATAAGAAAGAAAGATTAGTTCAGCGAAGAGTTCTCTTTTCGGCGAATTCATTTTCAAAGCTGTACAATCGCAAATATATATACTTATTTTCACAGGGTGATAGTAATACTGATAATAAACTTATGTTATACATGGTGACAGTGAGGTTAAATATTTGGAGTGTATTATTTGGAGTGTATTATACTTCTGACGAATGCTAAATCAAGAGGCTGTTTGGGCACAAAAATAATCATTCGTTCCCAACTTACAGTCAGTCACTATACATTATCATATATTGAATAAAGTCACTGCATATTAGCAGTTATATATGTGACCTACTGATCCACAAGAAACAAGTCTCGAATAAGATTTAAGATTGTTGAGTTTACCCACCAGTAAGTTGTTCAGTATGTCCCGTTGACGATATTACGGCTAGAGTTTGTAGAAATGGTTCTGATGCACTGGGATAAACAGAAATCAATTAAGTGATAAATGTGTGTGTTTGAACAATAAATTATATATATATATATATATATATATATGAGTGGGTACACATGCATTCGATTCTATTAGTCAATTAAATTGCTATCTCACACTCAATCTTTTCACTCAAATGACCAGGACGATTGCATATGAATGTCAACTCTCGGACACTGCACATCACAAACCTTTCATCATTTACTGACCAACAGAGTTTTATCGTCTGTTCTTGAAAATATTATAGAGCTTTAAGTCCATAGTTTATTACTGTGATTTACAACTACTATGAAAGGTTAAAATTATGAATGTGAACTATATTGACTATTTTATATCTAATGGACATAAAGTACGTGCTTGATTACTTCTCACATGTGTATACGAACTGTGTAATCAGTATGAGCGAAACATGAAATAAATAATACTCTAACAAACTGTCTGTTCGGGTTATTGGAGAATGTTAAGATGACTGTTCCTGTATCTCATTATGGGTCTATTTTCAAACTGTCAAGCAGATTAGTTTTATTAAATGACATGTACCACATAACCCTTAAGTTACAACAAAAACATTATCAGAATTACATATAAGCAAATAATATTAACTTATATATATATAGACAGAATAATTACTTATACAGTACTGGCTTCTATGCAGTGTTACAATGATCCAACAAACTTTCACTTGACTGAATTCCAAGAATGATGAAATCGTTTCGATTAGAGGTAATAGACGTATAGAAACTATCAGAAATATTCACTATTTACAGATAGATACTTTGGTGTTTTGTTCAAAAAAGCATTTCCCTCTCTTAACATCGATTCTAACTTAATGGTATTATCTCTCCTGAGTAAAAGATCAATTTTTCACTGTATGAGTTGATTTATATGAGCTAACTAATAAGAAGTGAACAATTCACAATATGTTCACAGCCTGTATATCAAAAAGAGAGTGTTTATTGAACGTAGGTAATTAGTCTTACGGACCAAAACATTATTTATTACTAAAGCTTAATGTTAAGAATGGGATTTAGTCTATAGGATAAGTGTTTGAAGTTTAGGGTTACAATGTAGGTTTAAATCCTAAACTCCAGTTTAAAAACAAGGTACATACAGACTAGTCATAAACTCATGGTCTACCTTAAATCCTAAACTTCTCATCCTAATGTTAACTCTATTTATTAAGCTCTAAATCTTAATCCTAATTACTAACATTATAAGTCATCCATCTATATTTATTATCTTGTAATTGGATGTGTGGGTTTAGAAATTTATCACAGCCATCTAAATAGTCCTTCACGCTTACTGTAGTGAGTCGCTTTTACCTTTTTGCATTTTCTCTAGTTTTAACACTAATCTTATCAGACATGTCAGAAGCATATGATTTATATTAACATTAGCATGAAACAAGTTCAAAAAGTCGAATAACATATCATTCATAACTTGTTATGAGATGAATGATAAGAGTAAAGTTTTGTCATTACATCTATATACTATACTATTATCGAAGGAAAATTAACATAATGATCGAATAAAATAATGAATAGTTGTTATGCCTAAGAAAAGTGGCTAAAACAGACTGGCTACTAATCATTTACAGAAGGAAAAGATATGAGCACAACCATAAGAAATATTTATTAGCATAACTATTTCTAGTATTGTTACCTTTAAATTAAAAAAAGATAGCTTGACTAAAAAATCAATAAATCTGACCGTAAAACTATCGAATACTAGAAGTTTGATAAATTTGCTTACGATACAATCATACATAATTATATATATATATATATATATATATATATATATATATATATATATATAAGCAGGTGGCTATCAGGACTCGGTAGTTAGGTGGATAACGCAATGGCGTTCGAAGCGAATGATCCTAGGTTCGAGTCTTGGAGTGAACATCAACTCGGTGATGCAGGTATATCCAGCTGACGAGTCCCAAGTAGAACGAAATGCACGTCCTGAATTCCGCTGTTAGCCACTATACATCTTTGCTTAAAAAGCTTGTGACCTAAGGCTATATCGAGGCAATTCGCACAGGGTGTACATATGCCAACATGAGACTGACCAATTGCAGTCCTAAATAACTATGGGAAGATACAAGTAAAACAACACCAAGTGAATATATATATGTACATATATTCCTCTTTTAACGCTTATTTTAACCTTTACATTATTCTGAATATATAATTTCATTGTTAAATTTTAGCTTTTATCATATCAGTAAATTTCAATATCTTATCACATCACAACTCTAACATGATTTTTAGAAATGTTCCCATTACTAGTTCAGTATAACATATGATTTCTTAATTAATGATATAGTTCTCATTTTGTTTATTGAATATAATCATTTTTGGTATCTACAATTTATTTAAACAAAGACACTCACTATACCAAATATAATATGTAAGTATATAATCTATGATGTTTTAGTGACTAAGTTATAGAATAGTAAGTTAAGAAATTATTAAAAGTCATATGATTTCATCTAACTAATTTAATAACTGGTATAAATGTTTATTCCATAAAAATCTTTCATTGTATTCGAGATATATAATGAATAAATAATTGTGACAAAATAGAAACTCTTTGATCTCTAAACCATAATGTATTCGTTAATTAATTATAAGTTTTTGAAATTTGTAGCATACTATTTAAATAATCATATTTTGTGTAGCACCTCATTTACTTCAGTAACTTCAACTAAACTGAGACCAAAGCATATAAATAGCTACATATTTGATGTGACTCTTAACCTCTCTATGTTTGTATAGCTATTCAATGTTAACAGGATAAAAATAGCCATTCCATATATGATTTAATAAATTTGCTCCAGGTCCTTTATATCTATCAACAAAAATGTTCTTCTTTTCATTCTATCTTAATAATATTTCAAGTGAGAAAACTGTACAATATGAACATACTTACCCTTAAGTATACAGACAGTGTGAAATATATTGATGCCAATATTTGTTATTTCTGTTATGAATGTAAGTTGCTTAAATTCTGAATAAACAGATAAAAGGATGATAAAAAAGAAATCAATTCTGGTTTTAGAGGCAGGTGACTTCTTAAAACCAATGAATCGTAGATTATCACTGTCTTTTATAACATTATTAGCAAAACTTATCGGACTACACTAAACTAAAATCTTATAGTTTTCTAATCAGATATTTCATCGAAGAAACTATTGTTTTATCAAAAATATGCTTTCAAATTTTTGTCGCTTGAATTTTTTCATGACTTTCGTTCTGAGCTTCTTTCCATTAATGATTATTTAATGCAATTTAAGAGAAGAAACATCTGATAAACCACAAAGACAGTTTTTTTTTACTGAATTCAAGATAATCTTCAAATCCATACAAAATAGAAACGCACAACCGATATTCCTTCAGTAATGTCTAAATATTAAAGCTTGGTTCAATAGTACTTTTCTACTCTGTAGATTGTTATAAAGCAGAAAGTGAAGACAAAATAATTTGATTAACATATCAAAAGTTTCTTTTAGATTTTGAAGTGCTTCCTGGTAATGAGTGTCAACATGTAAAGCTAGAATTATTCAGTAAATGCCTTTATTGATTTAACATGAAGTGCAGAAAACCCAAAACCTGATTCTCTGAATTCCATAGTTTGGTCTATAAGTTTCGGTTCATAATTGAAAGTGAAGGAAAGCACAAATCATTGTTCAATGGCTCCTTCATATATGAATGACTTATACATCAATAAATGCATTTGGAAAAAATCTAAAGAAATTTGATAAAACATATCGATCTTTTCAGTGTGCTATAAGAGTATAAATGAATATTTGTAATTAGATTTTAAATGATCTAGACAAAAATGCAAAACCATCAGTCAGTCAGTCAGCTAAAATATAAGACCAGGCTAATACTTACAGAAAAAACATATCAATTACATATATTCTTCCTCGTGATTTCATTTTATGTCATTAAGGACTATAAAGGTGAAGTAAGTAGCACACTAGTGTTTGTTTTTTTACGGACTTGTAATATATGTATATTTTTTTTTAAAAGTGTATATATTTTATTCAATCATCAAAATTCAACAAGAAGTTCACTATCTGAATATATTTTCTTTCTGATGATCAATTGTAATTCTTTGTATACTCTATCAATTGTTATAAGTTAGTTTGATGAAATATTGAAATTAACACAAATAATAGTTCATATCTATCACTAGATATTTGCAACCGCTTAATTAGAAAAATTCATACTTCATTATATTACATTAAATTTACTGCATTAAAATTAAGTAATTACTAAATGTGTCGCTCAATTTCGTGGATTAGTTGAAGTTAAACATTAACACCATTGTATGCTGACCAGATCAGTAGTCTAGTGGTTAGGCGCTCGCTCACGAGAGTGATAGGTCCTAAATTCGAATCCCGCGAGGCGGGGCCATGGATGCCCATCGCTGAGGAGTCCCACAGTAGGACGAAACGGCCGTCCAGTGCTTCCACGTCTTCCATGGTGGTCTAGCTTCAAATGAGTCATAATCTGAACTATTGTAGTTACTAAAAATTATTATTAACTAATCATATGTACAGTTTAATCTACGTTAGACCAAGTAGAAGTTATTTAATGACATATCGATTATAAATTAACGTTGAGTAATTGGAAGAAAAAGGATTAATAACAATCAAAGTAATTATTCGGATATCAATCACTTGATACGTTGGATAATACATGTAAGAAAGAGAAGAAACTTGCAGAATATTTTGATGAATGGTCCGTAGTAGTTATGTAAGAATCAAGAGATGAATGTTGAGAATAAGTAAAATACAAAAATACAAAAACAGTGGAAGAAATACGAGAATAGCTTATCAAAGTTCTGCTACAAACTCCCCCAATACCGATGGCCAAGGTAGTAAGAATGGTTGTATAAATAGAAGTTTATAAAACAATACTTATTCACTTCCTACTATTTCATTGACTAATTTAAAAGATTTCAAATAGTCAGTTTGTAGTTTATTTATTTCTTTTTTAAGAGACATAAAATGTTGTGAAAAAGATTGATCAGAAACAATACCGATTATATAATAATGAGTAAATTGTAGTGACTTTTTAGTTTTTTAATTTGATTCTGTTCTTAATTTAATAACATGTTAACGGATTCTATTAATCCTTTCTCATGTTACTAAGTGGTTCATAGAGATTGTAAATCACTCAAATCATCTTCATTATTAAATTATCAAGACCGTATATATATAATCTTTGAAAACACATGGGACAGAATAGAACTTTTGTTTATATACATCAGTTATGCTAAATAGTTTTCTTTCATAGAATTCACTATCCAACCTTTTTTCTTTAACTTTTAGCTTTCTTTAGTGATATTTAACATACCGTAATTCTGCTATATTTTAAAATTCATACATAAGTTAATGAATGAATTGAATCAATGTAAAGTTTGTTTATATGAAATGAGTTGATTATCATACCCATTCAGTGATTACTAAGTATTGAAACCATTCTAATTTTACAGATAAATTTTACAGAATAATTAAAATTTTTATCAATTTTATGATTATTGACTATATATAGTTCCCAGCTAAAATGAAAACTTCAAGGATTTGAATAGAGATTTATTACCTTAAAATAACTGGAAGGAAATTTAGACGTGTTCAGGCAGATAATATAATTAACTGAATGAAAAATCTATTCATCTACCATTCAGTTGGACAAGGAGTGAATGTGACAATTCATTCTAGTCAGTAAGGGGTTGTGAAGACTGATGAATTTTATTGATACCATTAAATATCGACTTAGTCGTCTAGTGGTCAAGCGTTCGAGCGCATGTCAACATGTCTTGGGTTCGAGTCTGAAGTGAGGAGTCGTGGGTACACGCTAGGATGAAACAGCTGTCAAGTGCTTCCAGGTTTTCATTGGTAATCTAACATTGATCGGTTCATGATTTCAGTGAAATTGATTATATCTTTCTCTAACGCTAGCGTCATTACTTGACAAGGTTTATTTCTTTGACAAAAGTGATGATGTTCGAAAAACTATCAAAACCAAAGTACGGTATGTGCTAATCAAGAGCAAATACTCCCCAAACAAATCGTCCTTGAAGTTCAAAACTGGGCTACACAAACTTGTGTAAAATTACGATATTAGGTTCTTAAAGATATTTACTGTAGGTATATTGTATTTCTTCCTACCGAACTAATCGATACTCAGACTATATGTATACAATAGCTCCCTTGTCTTACGGTTCAATTGTACGAGCCCAAAAAATAAACGAACAAGAAATATGTTTATTTTTACCGACACATTAATCTTATGGCCTCTAATTATCTAAGGATAACTTGAAATTACAAAAGCTATCACTATTATTAAGTCCATAACAATTTAATACCGTTGAAGAAAAAACCACATTCCAAGGGCTGTGCTACAATTATGACATCAAATAAAATACATAAGGAAATAATTAAGCTTAGTACCTGAAACCAAATGTAATTTATGTGTAATCAGGTAGAGGATTCTCAAATCTACGATAAAAGCATCTAAACGGCAAAAGTTGTTCACAAATTATAAATGTGTATATAGACGACCAGGTGTTACGATGAAACTGAGTTATCTAAAATCGAAGAATAAAAATAACGATGTGATTAAATTAATCACGCGAAGTTAAGGAAACTGTTTTCGAGTGCTGAAATTAAAACTTTTAAAAATATTCCTCTTTCTTAAAATCTTCCAGGAATTCACCATTGGATCATAGTTATTTTTCTCTTTCAAAAAACAGTTTTCTAATTAAACTGACGTAACAAAATTTATCTTTAGTGAATAAGCCATGACATTACAACGTGTGTGTTGTAGTGCATAGTTTATTTGATGTCGGATACTAAAACTCTTTATACATAAGGGACCATCTAATGATTTCTAATCTTTTAATTCATGAGTAAGTCTTTACTCTTAGATGCCTCCCAGCCGTTTTTTCACGATATTAACATTTACTATTTGACAGTATAATTTGTTGCCCATCTTGACTATGATTAATAAAAAAAATAACTTTTCATCTTAGTAGAGTTATCAATGGAACATTAGACTTCGATGACGAATTTGGGATTCATTTTCAAAACGAATGAGTAATCAAATCATATTCTGTTTACCGTATAGACATTTATCAATCTTCATAAAATATATCTTTAATATTTGAATTTACGAAAAGGTTTCTATTTAACTTAGGGGTAGTTATTCTACTGAATTAGTCACTATGTTTAAAGTTCAAGGTAATCCTTTCTAAATCTATGGCTTCAATTGAATCATGATCTCAACTATTGAAATTACTGAAATCTCTACAAAACCCCATCTGATAACAATCAACATATGCTTACTAGTGACTGGCTTCAAGAGGTATATCCTGAAATTCTAGTGAGAAGCATTGACCGGTGGAGTTCAATCGTGTCAGTTGTGAGGCAGGAACTCACTGATGACAATGGTGGATGTGTCACTCAATTTCGCGGATTAGTTGAAGTTAGACATTATCACCGTTGGATGCCGACAGGCTCAGTGGTCTAGTGGTTAAGCGCTCACTCGCGAGACTGATAGGTCTTGGGTTCGGATCCCGCGAGGCGGGGCCATGGATGCCCATCGCTGAGGAGTCCCACAGTAGAACGAAACGGCCGTCCAGTGCTTCCAGGTTTCCTATGGTGGTCTAGCTTCAAACGAGTCATGATTTCAACTACTGAAATTACTGTGATCGCCACAAAACGTTTTTTGATACTAGTTAACGATTATTTTAAGAGATATATTTCAGTTTGTGTTCACAAACTACCATTAACTTCGACGCTAATAGGCGCATTTTTATTGGATAGGGTTTGAATTATTCCGTTGATAATATTCTAGACCCATTTTCTTTCTTGCATGCGTACTTTCTGAGCGGATTGCCTCGAAATAGCCACTTTGTTACCAATTTTAAGATAGATAAATTATGGACAGGATTATGATCAACGATACACGTTTTGTTCTATTCGGTACTTGTAAGCTGTATATGCCTGGATCTCCATGTTTAGAATCACACTAAGAATCGAACCGAGTACCTTTCGCTTCAAACGTTGAGTCATCTATTAAGCTACTGAGACCAGATACCCATTAATCCATCTATAGTAATAAAAACAGACAGTAAATGAATAGTTTATCGTCTGATATTTTTTAGCATTTCAATAAACAGATTTCTTGGTTCTCTAACTTGGTTGAAATCATCATCATTATTAACTTATTTTATAATGTAACTGAAAATAGTTGGTTAAACATTGTTCTGTTTATAAAACTATTTGTTGAAACAAATATATTTATTTAAAATGTGCTAAACGTATTTAGTGGTGAAATAAACATGAATGACAGGAAATGATTCGATATATATACTGACCTTATGATATTTTAAACAAAGGTTCAATCAAGTTTATTAATAACTGTGCATGAAATGTTTACCTTAGTCCTGTGAACCACTATTTAAGCCATTATTACTAACAAATTTTCACTCTAAAATTTTGTTTACAAGTCACTTATCAAACGAACTGTTAACCTTCCACTTACATTTTTCTCATTAAAATGCTTATAAATCAATTTACTAAATTTAAGGATACGGTTTCCTTATATGACGTTATCATTAAATATAAAACAATAGTGAATAGCTATGTATTCTACTTAGTAAATCCTTATCAGTAAGAACATAATAACCATCTTTTAACTAGATCTAGGAAGTAAGAGTTCCTGACTGATCAGAAATAGTTTTTAAACCAATTAACCTAATATTATTTGTCTCTTTAATCAATTCTTTTTTGAGTTTATTTCTAGTTTCAATTGAAGGAGTGATGATAACAAAAACAAATGTATATTCAATACTTTCTAAATGTCATGATAAAAACTATATTTTAAACTTCATTCAATCTCTATAAGCTTTCATTTATCTTAACACTATATATTGATGAATTTCAGATAAGTTAGTTTATTCTTATATAAAGGAAAACATTAATTAGTATGATATAAATTTATTCTAAATATTAAAACAATGAAAATTAATCTAACCATACAAAGCACAAACTCAACCTATTAAGGAAATTGCTAATCTTTTTCTCATAGAAAATCACAGTTTAATTAATCATAAAACAGTTTAATAGAAAATCAGACTAGAATAGAAACATTAAGATTACTAGCAACATAGTAAATTTACTCAGAACATTAAAAAGCGAAGTAATACTTTGGACATTTACAGAATGTGTTAGATATTAAAACAATATTTAACTGTTATGTAATACCTATCTAATGTGTTTCTGTGGGACCTCAAAAATAACATATCTTTGATCCTAATTTATACGTTTAAAATTGAAGTACTTGAAAGATACATCGTACGAAAATGTAACATTCGTATAACAACAATAAAAAAACATTTAAACTTTGGACAAAATAATAAATATCATGTCTACATACCATCATTCATTTTTTAAAGATGTCATTAAGTTTTGAAGGTAATCATATTAATAAATTGACATCGTTTGAAGGAACTAAACAGCCCTCAATAGCTACATAATAAATTGAAGCATTTTATGGTTGTGGACTATTAAATTTTAATTCATTGATATGGTAGCCTGAATGTTCTACCAACAAGTGTAAGATACAGACCTCCAATCAACTTCCCATTGTGGTGTAGAGTAGCTGAGCAAAGTGGAAGAAAAATGGTACACCTAATGATAACGGATGCACATTACAGGATCCCCAGAATACCAACACGTAATAGAAGACCAAAAACTGAAGCTACAAAGGACACTCACGTCACAATATTTGGGAATCTTGACAACAGCCATGAAGATATTATGCAAACAACACAGAGAACAAAGAAGAGACACCCTAAAGACGAAACTAATCAAGATCTCGAAACCATCCATGGAAGAAAACACAAACAACTACGTGGTCAACCTGTCAAATTCAGTGATGTCAAAGTTTCTTTCTTATTGCGCTAAATTGAGTGTGAAATCATTAATGGATATTAATAAAGAATTCCAGACTAAGATGAAGTAACTTTTCAATCCTTTCTTTCTATAAATGTTTCTCCAAAAAATGAGAAATACATTCAAATCAAAACTTGTTATTATGTACAGTGTACTACAAGTGCATAAACTTATGATTGCTTCAAATAATTTGGTAATTTTATTTTGGCACAGACCAACATTCAATAAATATAGACAACTTTGAAAAGATAATTGAACAGCACATTTTTAAAACTTTTTCAACTATTCAAATTAGCATTATATATATAATGAAAGTATTTGAGAACAAAACTTTTAGTTCGCACGTTCATTCTGTTATTTAAATCCTGCTTACAAAATACTGTAGCTTAAATATAAAGATTGGGTTTTATCTTTAAGGAATAGTATGATGTATATATTCACATGGTACCAGTTTTCTCATGAGCACTTGTTTTTTACTAGAAATCAATTTTTAATACCTAAAAAGTCCAAATGGATTTATAATTCAGTGTATCAACTAAAAAAATATAATACTGATCTATATTTAACTCTGAATTTACCGATAATTTATACAGAATAAGCATTGCTTTTCTTCTTTATGTCGTTTTATTGTATTTATTGCTCTTCATTTTTTGCTTCCAATAGTACTTAGATACATGGAATCGACAATGATGATTTTGATGTTCACTATTAAAAGTCAATAAACTAACTTATTTACTATGATCACATTCCGAATGACATATTGGAATTCTTAAAGCATCAGATTTTTCAAGGTTTGTAGTGCAATATTCTGATGTACACCGGTAAACATGGAAAAGATTCAGGACTTCCTGTGTAATGATTTCAAACGCATGATGCAGTTAAACAATGTTTCGAAACATCATAAAAAATAACTACAACATATAGCAATTCAAGTTATCACTCAAAAATAATAATAATAATAATAATAATAATAAAAAGACACCTACCGAATAACATTAGAAAATCTCGATAAAATGGTGCTATAAAATGAGCTTTTAATATAGCTAAATATGGCTTAAATCTAGGAAATACTTTTGAAAAACCAGTAGCTTCTGTAGCAAAATTAATAAATGCTCCTGTAGCAAGTATTCCATGTGGATGAAATCCAACCAAATAATTAACATCCATAGATAAATTTTCTTTCATTAATTCATTATCAAAATCATCATCATTCTTATAATCTTCATTATTCATAATAGAATTCATAAAATAAGAATAATGTTTAATATGATGATTATGAATTTTATTAAATTTAATAAATTCTTTACTAATTACTAAATGTATTGGAAAATAATCTGCTAAATATTCCCATATTTTTAAATAACGTATAAATTGTTTTGGATGTCCACCATGATTTTCTGAATTCCAATCCCATAACCAATAAATTATATATAGAATAAATAAAGTAATAATAATTGAATATTGAAATTCATTTATTGAATTTATATTGATTATTGATAATTTATAATTATTGATGATATATATATTGAAAGTATTTAATATAAGAATGATTAAATTATTAATTATTATATAACTTATAATGAATAATATAGATAAACAAAATAAACCAGAAAATAAAAATGTCATGACATATAGATAAACAGTTGTATTTTGAAAGAATTCAGTAAATAAATAATATAAACATTTAGTATTTGAATATTCACGACGTTTTAAGATCACTTCACCATTATCATTTAATTTGACATCATTAATATAACCATTAGAAGAAGAAGAAGAGGAAGGAGAAGAGGAAGAAGACGTCAAATTGATCAGCATATTCATTGAATATGAAGTAATAGATTATTTCTAGTTTCTTCAATGATAATGATTTCCTTAATTTTTAGAATAGATATGATATGTAATTAATCAAGATTTGTAAGTATCTTTTGTTGGTTTGTTTGTTTGCTTTTTATCGTTAAAACTTTAATAAACACAATGTAATGAAATGATAATGAGTATTAAAAATAAATAAAAAATAATAAATTACAACTTTAACTTAATTAAAGTCAATTTAAACAAACGATGATACAAATGGTGTACTGTTTATTAATTTTTCTGTAATAGAGTTTTCTAGATATTCCTTATTTCAAATCTGTTACTTACAATAAATGAATATAACATTCAATCAATTCATATAAATAAACTATAATTCAGTATAAGGTGAATAAAATAGACTGAATGTTAAATAAAGTTCAATTAAACTATGGACTTGATCATTTGATTTATTTGTTAGAAAAAATATTAATTTTTGAATTATTATTATTTTTTTCTACTAAAACTTATGTTTATGTGAATATGTGTAAATAAAACAACCAATCTGTGTTTAGAATTTATCTCACATATAATTGTGATTGTATAATGTATAATGGTCCAGGGTTTCTTGTCGACTACCTCCAACCACCATCTAATCTCGATATATAGTGCCCGCAATGTCGAGTCCCCTAGACTGGTGGCCACATTGCAACATAGTCGATAGCATTCGATTTGCACTAAATAAGGACTTGATAGACATGACATTGATCACCACCCAGTGATCAATCAATTGTGATTACATCTCAGTCCTACAGGAGATCGGTCGCGACTCGGATAGCTCAGTGGTAACGTCTCTGACTGTGAAGCTGGGTGACACGAGATCAAATCCGCCAGGGAGCACCGGTTCCCTCAAGATTACAGGTACACCTTGCTGACGAGTACCATGTAGCACGAAACCCGGGTCCAGGGTTTCCTGTCGACTACCTCCAACCATCATCTAAGTTGGGTTTTTTTAAAGCTTTGTAAGTTTTGATATCATCATTATGACTTTGTCATTTTATTGAAATTAATTCTATTTATTTTGTTATAAATTCTATTAACATTCAATAGTATTGTGTTATTATATTTTTAAATCCTGAAACTGAATTCTTTAAAGTCAATCATTCAATTTGAAATTACTGCTTTATATTTTTTTGTTGATTGATATACAAAATTAAACTGGAACTCGATTATATTTTGTCATCAAATGAAAAGGTTTACAGAACACCTTTTTTAACCATGTTACTTACTTACTAACTTACGCCTGTTACTCCCAATGGAGCAACGGCCACCAACTAGCATTCTCCAACACACTCTGTCGTGGACTTTTCTTTCTAGTTCTATCCAATTGTTGTTCATTCTTCTCAAGTCTGTCTTCATTTATCGGCGTCATATGTTCTTTCGTCTTCCTCTTCTCCTTCGACTTTGATGATGCCTTATGACTCAGTTGGGTGCTTTTCTCAATGTGTATCTTATCTACTTCCGACGCTTATCTTAATTCCTTCCTCCACTGGAATCTGGTTTGTTCTCTCCCACAGTAGGTTGTTGCTAATAATGTCCGGTCAACGGATCCGAAGTGTTTTGCGTAAACAACTGCTAATAAACACTTGTATCTTCTAGATGATGGATTTCGTAGTTCTCCAAGTTTTCGCCCCCTACAGTAGAACTATCTTGACAGTCGTATCGAAAATTCTGACTTTGGTGTTGTTTGACAGTTGTTTTGAGTTCCAGATGTTCTTCAGTTGTAAATATGCTGCTCTTGCTTTGCCTATCCGCGCCTTCACATCTGTATCAGATCCACCGTGTTCATCAATGATGCTGCCCAGATATGTAAAGGTTTTTACATCTTCCAAATCTTCTCCGTCAATTGTGAATGGATTGGTTCATGTTGTGTTGTATCGGAGAATCTTGCTTTTCCCTTTGTGTATATTGAGACCTACTGCTGCTGAGGCTGTTGCTGCACTGGTCGTCTTCTCTTGCATTTGTTGTTGTGTGTGCGATAGGAGGGCCAGTTCATCTGCGAAGTCTAGATCGTCCGGCTGCATCTTAGCTGTCCACTGTATCCCATGCTTGTCCCCAGATGTTGATGTCTTCATAATTCAGTCGATCACCAGGAGGAAGATTTTTTACCATGTATTGCAAGCTTTTTCATTGGGATGATTCAAAAACTTGAATAGTGTATGACATACTGATAAAGTTATTTGCCCTAACTCGTAATGAAAATTTATACTGTTAGATTCCTTTGACATTATAGTATTTACCTATCTTTGTCGTCCATCATTAACGTTAAATGACGTCTGAGTAATACGTTTTCTCAATATGTCAATTAGGGAGACCACTCCAAAATTTTAGTGAACACCTTGTCTAGCCTTCGCATATTTTTTCTGTAAATTACAATATATATCCTTTAAAATAACCACTTCACCATTACTTACCAAAAGAAGATACCTGAAAGTTACTAAAACTTCTTACTACCATCACAAAAATAAAAGTTAACTGTGAAATCAATGATTTACAATTTACGTGTTAAGGGAAGGATGGCTATTTCTTCACAATGTTATTTTATTAGTTCTAGAGATGGTGTGTTTGGTCCTTTTAGGAAGCTATGGATTACTTTAGTTGATTCTCCTGAATATATTTCAGTTCAGTGATAAAATGTACTGATGTTGATTATAGGCATACATGTTTAAAGATATTATTGAGGAGTCCTGACAGTGAGAAAATAGATGTTGTACATGGTTTACCGATGTTTCATTACTAAACCTAAAAACAGACACCACTGAACTCATACAGAACTAAAAAATCACTTAATAGCATTCACACTACACTGGAGTTTTATCAATAAACTATGTCGAGTAATTTATTAGAAATATTTGTCCAATACGGAATACTCGATTTGGTTGTGTTGTATGTAATAATTATTTTTAAACATGAGTTGTCAAAACATTTAACAAAAACGAATACTGAATTGTGGGTCGAAGATGGGTTGTGGCTAGCAGTGGAATCATTAAACAAATATGTAACACATAATAGTAAGATTATTTGGTACCTTGAGGGGTTATTCTTTAAGTTGGTATAAGATTATTCTGAAATGCCAAATCAATAACCGGATTTATTCCGTAAATATTGAGCTAAGGGATATTTCTTTCAAAATTAACAACTGTATTTGTAGTGAATATTGCTATTCTTGTTTGTGGAAATAGTTAAATTCGTAGTTATTATCTAAGGATTTTAGGAAGTGAGCTTCACAATTCTATACTGTTTATTATTTGAAATGAAATCACCATTTCCGAACCTTGAAGCTACATACTTGATGATTATTCATTGAAATTACTTTCGAAAGGTGAGTTTCTAGGGATCTGGTGTGAAACAACGAATGGATATTCAACTCGATTTGGAAATGGAAACGCGAAATTTCAGAAATTCTTTTTAACGAGTTACAGTCTGAGATATGACATTTAGTAACTGAACAGCCTGAAAATCGATTACAGGAGTATGAAACAAATGAGAAGCACCGTCAGATAAATTACTGTTCAAAAATATTTATAAGGATCTTTAGAAGTGGATGTAGTACAATAACTGTATTCAGTCAACGTAAGAGAAAGACTGCAATCATTAGACTAGTTTATAGGACGGATAAGAACGTACTATTATCAAGACATTGTATAATCCATGCAAAAAGTAACTTGATACCAAAACTAGTAATTGTATATAGGTTTCAGTGTATGATACAGGAAGATAATCAAACGTAACTTAATGCTCATTCAAAGGTTTCTGTACCATGCTTCGCTACACACCGAGAGTGTGAAGAGTAATTAAAGATTTCAGATCCCAAGACAGGTTTACATAGGGTGATCTTAGCTTTGTTTTCAAAAATATATGGCTTAAATTCTCAGCTTACTAACTCCCGGCTGAATTCTATATGCATATCGATATTTGTACTTCTAAGTGCAAATGCAAAATGCACCCGAAATCGGGAACATTATACACTGATGAAAAATTTATGTTTTTGTAGTATAACCTATTGATTGTATACACAATTTATTGATTAATTAAATCAAATTTTTACCAAACTATTTTATCATAAAATCAATCCTCAATTTTATCTCATGTATTAAAAGTGCTCAATCCAAAATTTAAATTAAATCAGTTAAAACTCAAAATAACAGTTTCTGACTTTAAAGTAAACAATATTCAAAATTTCATCTATTTCTTACACTTCCAACTCATATTAACGGTCTCGTATATTCTTACATCTGATTATAAAGAATCGACTTGATGCCTAAACCATTAGATTTACAGAAATTGGTATTGGGGTTTGAACTCTGACTTAACTGCTTTGGACTAGAGAGATGGGCTGTGTTGCTAACCTTGGTACCTAAAAGTGTTGCTAAAAGCTGAATATACTGCACAGAGTATACGATTAGAAAATGTCTTTATGGCCGGTTTTTATATTAACCAGTTTAGTAAAAAACCGAACTAGTAATATGCGATAGTTCTACTTACTGGTTTGAGTAAAACCATCATATATAAGTTATTTAACCGTCGATTAACCCTTCTACTCAACATCATAATTGCTATTTCATTTGTCCTTTTATGTTACAGTATACTAGAATGATTTTTGGTAAACAAAAAGATGCTTAAGTTCATAATTGTCTACATATTGCTGTATATATGAATAAACAGAAGTTTTCTGTCACGAATATTATATAAGCCATTTACTAAATTCGGTTAACTTTTTAGGGATATAGTGTTAATCGCCATATTCCCCCTCCCTTGATTCAGAGTTTATTGCACAAAATCTCATTTTCCCATTTTGGTCATATTATTTTTTTAACTGATGTTTTAGAGTATAGAAAGATATTAAGAGAGAATCATTTTAGTCAATGTATATGAAATAGGTCATTACGACAGATACACTTAATCAATATATTAAATTGACAACAGATCGAAAACGAAAGAATATACTCTAAAACAAAGAATTTTCAAAT